TCCGGGAACGAACACGCCACAATATCCCTCATTTGAATAATTCATACGCAGAATAAAGGGGCGGGGCCTGGTTGAGTGAGTTAGTGTGTCATGTTTATATGCGGCGGTCGTCTATGAAGGGCCGCCACTGTACTTTAGTTTTGTTGTTAGTTTATTTTTGGATTGAATGTATGCTGGTTCCCAAATCCTTCTTCCCTGAACTTTAAACATTGCAACAATCCTTTATAATGGAAAAAAAGGATATTTGGATTATTAAAATGTTCTTCACACTAAGATTTTATTTTTATTTTTTTAAGAACTGAGCACTTAAGGCGAGACACTACAGGTGAATAGGGTAAAATTATTAAATAATAGTTATCACCATGAAACTTCCTCAGTCGATTACTTACACACGTATATATATACATAAAAATATATAATACGTTTTTGAAATTTGTATGTTTAATTATGCAAATTAGGCATTATCTCATTAAATATGCACAATTTTGCATATATTTCCGGTAGATAGATCTGAACATATGATAAAGCCAGGTGCAAAATTCTTTTTTCATTTTGTTTACACACAAAAGTTCAGAGGGATTTCAGGATATATGCTTTCATTACCTGGGAAATCAAAATATACTGTCCATAGCCTTTAAAAAATTGATTTTCGCCATAAAATGTCACATAAATCATGCCAGGAATAATTTATTAACAAATCCCTCTGAAAATATCTTCAGAAAACTGCTAAGTGTATAACTGGAGAGTTTGATGTACATATGTGCTACATAGGCTGAGATGTTTCTGGAGACTGACAAAAAAAAAAAAAATTGAGAAAAAGGCATTTAAAGATTTAAGAAGGGAATTTAATACATTTCTATTGGGGAAAAAAATGCTCAAAAACAGAATAAAATGTGCAGGCCCTTAGTAATAATAATATATAATATTTCAAGCTCATGAAACTGATTATTTAATAACATGGCAGGCATATAAGGCCTACAACTGCAGTAAATCAATGAATTAACATTGGCAGAGTGCACCTCGTGATACGACTGAGCGAATCACGTTCGCAGAAACCAGCAGTAGCCAATGAGATTTCGTCATTAGTTTTAGATCACCCTTTGGACATTCAAGATTGGTTACTGATAGAAAGGAAATGCCCATATTTGGGTTACACAGCGTTGTGCACGAGATTCAGAGGTTTCCATCGATAGAGAGCCTAAGTCCTTATTTCGGAAAAAAAAATATGAATGGTAGTCAATGGCGAGAGACAACTTATCTTTTTATTCCGTCTGAACTGTGCCCTGAATTACACATATGATGTTTGTCTATTTAAAAGATACATTTTAAAGTAAAGAAAGTCGCAGTTTGTCATAAAAGAGAAGAGTAACTTTTAGTTTTATGTGAAAATCGCTCAATGAACTACATCTCCCAAGAAGCGAAACAACGAGCAAGATCCGCTGCTCATGTGTGTGCGTGCAGTCTGGTACAAAACACCCAGGCATGACGGCGTAACGTTACGATTATAACGCAAGTCTATAAACAATGCCAGACATTAGCATCAGTTCAGTTAACCTCATTCATTGAGAGAAAATGTGTGCTTTTGGGATTTGTAGTCTTTGTAATTACGTATTTTCACAGTCTCATACCTCAGCGGTTTCACATCAAACTGTGACTTTCTTTACTTTAAAATGTATCTTTTAAATTGACAAACATCATATGCGCAATTCAGGGCACAATTCAAACGAGATCAAAATAGTAGTTGTCTCTCGCCATTACAATATTTTTACAAAATAAGGTCCCATGGTGGTCGACCGGAAGGGGAGGGACTTAAGGCTCTCAGACGGACGGTAAACAGACGGAGCGTGGCATGACGCGCTGGAATGCTAACTCCTTGGTAAATTCGGGAGAAATTTACTGCCGCAAGTAAAATGTAATTAAATAAACATGTTAATATATATTATCAACGTTTTCTTTATATCAGCTTGAAAGGACACACATTGAAGGAGTAAACTAGCCCAAAAGACGCGAGCGCAACGGCCATGCAAGTCCTTTGCATGTTTACATTGAAAAAAAATGAAAATTAGCACAGTGGAATGGAAAAAAAAAGTGGACACATGACTAGTAACGTTATGCAACTCCAAATTTTTCACTATCCATTCAATTCCCTCCTTCAATTTCTGACATGTTATTTCTTGGAAATAAATCGGGTTGTGGACATTTCATGTTGACATTACCACAGAAAAGCTTTGACTCTTTGACAGGATGAATTCTCGACATAACATGACTCTGAACACAGAACCTCCGGTCTCCATGCATCTCTAGTTCTCCACACAGCACGCATACGTTCGCTGAACTACAGCTCGCTTCTCCAGATGCTTGACATTGATGGATTAATTGCAGTAAGCCAAACAGGCCCGTCTGACATTGAGGCTCTTTCTTTCAAACAGAATTCCAGCACACACTCACGCATTCACACACACACACACACCTCCGTTTCTTTTCCCATTCTAGAGCTTCTCGGCATAATTAATGTTTTCTTCCATCTACTCCCTCAAGAACAGGCAGTCCGCTTCGCTTTCCAAAAAAAGTGGTTGCCAAAACGTTTATTTAACACCAGGGCACTTCATTTCAATGGGAAAGAAGAAAGCAACACCCTCTCTGATTTGATGGCAATTACTTCAAATGACTTCCTTAACGAGCACAACGCACACGGTCGTTTAGTTAGATTGATTCCTAACAGTTAACACCAGATAGGAGAGTCGTGAAGTCAAAGGCGGGCGGTTTTGAAGGATTTTTCCAAACACAGATTAAACTTGTTGCTGGACTCATTTCCACCATGACTGGTGGTCTGGCAGTGTTCATTTCTCATGTGAAAGGGTACTATGGCTTTGTTCCAAAACCTATTGAGCCGCCTTGCTGTCTACTGCCTAAACAGACATCTCATCTCCACACCGCAGAAAATAATGCTAACCATACAAAACACACATTGGTTTGATGTCTAAATGTATTTTTTTTTTCATATATATATATATATATACTATGCAATCTAATTAAATATTATAACTCCATCTGGCTGGTTTAAGCTGGTCTCACGTGCAGGCTGGTTTCAAAGGGGTTTTGGACACTTTTTAGCTGATCAGGATGGACTTAGAACAGCTTAAAGACCAGCTAAACACAGCTTAGCCAGGCTGGAAGACCAGCTTAAGCCAGCTAAGACCAGCCGAAGCTGGTTTTATCTGTTTGTTGTTTAGTTTTTTTTCCAGCAAGGAAATAAATATTGGGAAAAATTGACTTTTTAATTACACAAAAAAATAAAACTGTTGTCTATATTTCTTGTATATGTTCTTGTATATTACTTGTAATAAGTTTTGCATTAGCATATTGCTAAGCTAAACCCACAACTGTGAACAAATGTTTCCATCTTGGACTGAACTGTGATGATTTTTCTATACTATTGAGTATACAATTACAAATTATAACTGTTGTATACATTTCGCTCAATTGATTGTAATAAACTATTATATAAACTATTATAATAAAATATTATAAAAGTTAGCATGTTGCTAAGCTAAAGGCATAAGTTACGTTAACTTACGTTACGGCATAAGTAATTCGCCATGTAATTAACCATTTATAGTCTATTTGTTATCTACATTTTTCGTATACTTGATTCTAAGAGTTTGACATTAGCATGTTGCTAGGCTAAGTAGACACAGTAGTTAAGGTAAAGTTGTTCTTTTTTAGATTAAAACATAAAATGTGATTACAAATGTTTCTATACCATTCAGTATCTAATGTAAATATAACTAGTACACATTTTCCTGGACATATTATAATAGAGTTTGATGTTAGCATGTTGCTAAGCTAACTAACACAATTTCAGGGTAAGACTACTTGGGAATCATTTAAAAAAAGATGATTGACTGAATTGTTATAATTATAGCCAACAATTTTCTATATTATACTCGCAATGCATTCTGGGAGCATTTTCTGGACTTAGACCAGCTTAAAGACCAGCCAAACTCAGCTTAGCCAGGCTGGAAGACCAGCTTAAACCAGCTAAGACTAGCCAAACAGCCGAAGCGGGTTTTATCTGTTTTTTGTTTTGTTTTTCCAGCAGGGAAATAAATATTGGGAAAATTTGACTTTTTAATTAGACATAAAATTAAACCTGTTGTCTACATATCTCTAAACTTGTTGTAATAAGTTTGACATTAGCATATTGCTAAGCTAAAGGCACAACAGTGAACAAATGTTTCCATCTTGGACTGAACTGTGATGTTTTTTCCTATACTATTGCGTATACAATTAAAACTTATAACTGTTGTCTAGATTTCGCTCACTTGATTGTAATAAAATATTATATAAAATATTGCAATACACTATTATAAAAGTTAACAAGTTGCTAAGCTAAATGCATAAGTTCTGTTAACTGTTTAATTAGGCTGAAACTTAAAACAATGTTTTTATAATATTTTCAGTATGTAATGAACTATTTATAGCCTATTCGTTATCTACATTTTTCGTACTTGATTCTAAGAGTTTGACATTAGCATGTTGCTAGGCTAAGTAGACACAGTAGATAAGGTAAAGTTTTAGATTAAAACGTAAAATGTGATTACAAATGTTTCTATACCATTCAGCATCTAATATAAATATAACTAGTAGACATATTATAATAGAGTTTGATGTTAGCATGTTGCTAAGCTAACACAATTTCGGGGTAAGACTGCTTGGGAATCTTGAATTATTATAATTATAGCCAACAATTTTCAATCTTATACTCGCGATGCATTCTGGGAGTATTTTCTGCATGAAGGATACACATTATGCTAGTTTAATGGCGGCAACATAATTCAGTGTCTGGAAGCTCACTAGGTTTTCCAACAGAGCATCGATTTGTCTAAAAATCTTTTAAAAAATCCACCAAATGTCCGTAAATGAGCATGCCCAAACACACAGAGGTGCAGTCCGCTTATGAGGTTAGTGTGGAGAGTGTCCCTGATTGGTTGCCTTACCTTCAGTCCTCTCTTTGCGGGGAGTGGGGTTAAACTCGTCGGCTACTGTTAGGGAGGCATAAAGAATTGTGATTGGTTAATTCAAGACATTCACCATTCCCAGACCCATGCACCAATCCATTCCAGTACGGATGTTACTTGACATTTGCAAAGGCCAAGCCGAGAGGCATGCAAATCATCAGGTGAAAGTGAGACAGTCAAAGTGGGATAACCCATGAGGCGAGAAAGAGAGAGAGAGAACTGAGTGCATTAGCATGCAATATGTGATGTCTAACATTCAAAAGCGTTGGCCAGTGATACTGTGTTAGGGGATTTTAGCTCAATGAACCAGGCCTAACCAATTCCTTTTTGTCTTACCACGCATACGGTCGAAAATCAAACCATGAAGTCTGAATTATTAGTATTTTTTCTGTAATTTTCCTCATGATGGCTCTCAAACATCAGCCTTTATACCGTTGCCACAGATTGTATTCTTCTAGAAGCCGGCGCCGGCCAAACATATCTACTCAACCTGAAGGCAGAGATGCCATTTGAAGAAAATGGCTCATAAGAACGAAGCACAGGAGATTTGGTGGAATTGAAACGTGCTTTGAAATGGCCAGTAACATCAGGACACATCTGTTCTGGTCCAAATGGATTTCATAAAAAGATGAAACTGCCTTTAGACTGGGAAATAAACGCGCTACTTTCACAGAACATTTAAGGATCTTGTTAAAGCCATTCGGATCAGTAAAATATTATTACTATGATTGCAATTTGAGTACCTAGAAAAGCACTAACAAATGTAACAAATTAACATTATTATTATTAATTTAAAATAACTATTTTCAAAGTGAATATATGATAAATTGTAATTTCAGTGTTGCATGATCCTTCAGAAATCACTCTAATATGATGATCTGATGCTCAAGAAACATTTATTATTATTATTATTATTCTTGAAAACAGCTTCATACTTTTTGTGGAAACCGTCATACATTTTAATTTTCAGGATTCTTTGATAAATAGAAAGTTCAAACAAACAGCATTTATTTGAAATAGAAATATTTTGTAACATTATAAATGTTTTTACTGTCACTTTTCATATATATATATATATTAGGGCTGTGCAAAAGATAATTGCGATTAATCGCATCCAAAATAAAAGTCTGTTTTACATAATATATTTGAGTGTGCTGTATATAATTATTTTGTATATATAAATACCTATGCATGCATGTATATATTAAGAATTATTTGCGCTTAAATTCTGTTATATATATATATATATATAAATACATAATCTATATTATACAATATAAATATTTATATAGGAATAACACATTTTCTTAAACATATACATGCATGTGTGTGTATTTATATATACAAAATAATTATATACAGCACACACAAATATACTATGTAAACAGAGACTTTTATTTTGGATGCGATTAATCGCAATTAACTTTTGCACAGCCCTAATATATATATATATATATATATATATATACTGACACAATTTTGACAAGACTTTTTACAGATTTTTTGACTTAAGATTTTCGAATAACGTATTCATAATCATGATGTATTATATTTTCATTTATAAATGTATTATATACAAATATATTGACTCTTTTTTTATTATTACTTTTAATCAAATGTAAATACAGTAGATCTCACAGGTGTTTATATTAGTGGTCATCAGTGGTATATTAGTGGTTCTGAGTGTGAACATTTGAAGACCCAAAACTGATGTTTAATTCACCCCAACTCAAATCATTTAATTTTGATGCATATCCCTCGTGTAACTCGGTTAACCCTTGACGATGAGGCACTGAAATAGGTCTAAAATCTTCTTTCCCTTGCCTTTTCCTCTTTTCCTCACTCGCTCATTTTCTAAGTGCTTTATCTTCTTCCAGCCATTTCACTTGTGCTACTGAAGTGTAAAGAGGGAGTGTGTGAGGTCTCGGGTGTCTGGTGTTTTTGGCCTGAGCGCGGCGTTGGTCTCAGGAGGCTGTGGTCTTGATGTTGAGTAAGGATAAAGGAGAGGAGGTGGACGATGAAAGAGATGTTTTATCTTCTCCGATTAGCCGTGCGTTCGTGCGGCAGAGACTGTGTGTCTCCTGAGATCGACTCCACGCTCTCAACAACCCTGACCTGTCCTTGAGTCCCGACAAACCTCAGAGCAAACAGGTCCTCGGACACATATATTAGTTAGGACACAGCAGTCAGTTTTTAACTTTATATCATCATGAATGCATGTTTTATGTTTTAGCCTACGACTCTCTGTACTCGACGCGCTTGCATTCGCACCCCAGCTGGAAAACCGCACGGCTCGATAGCGAAGGAACAGGAGCAAGGCAAGGGACTGGTGTGGGATTGAGTGTGTGTGTTACCTAGGTCCATACTCTTGGACTTGCGGCTCTTGATAATGTCCAGTTGAGAAGCATCGTCGAACTGTTTGGTCCTCTTCTCCGACATGCTCTGCCGGGCGAAGCCTTCCCTCTGGAACTGGACATCCACGTCTGCGTCGGGACTGAGAGAGCTGAGGGACGGGGAGAGGGAGAACGCTTATTCATTTTATTGGGATTATTTATTATACAATATGAACGATACTTCTAAAATATTATTATATAAATGATTTATATAAAATGCATCAAGAAACAATAAAAATATCACCTCACATTGTTTTTTTTGTTGTTGTTTTTTTAACTTTTATAAATAGATAAATAACATGATCTTTTTAATGGGTTACTAAAAAACAAAATGAATGAATGAATGAATGAATGAATGAATGAATGAATGAATGAATGAATGAATGAATGAATGAATGAATGAATGAATGAATGAAAGAAGTGCCTAAAATTGTTAATTTAAAATTTAGATAGAGACAGTAGACAGACAGACAGACAGACAGACAGACAGACAGACAGACAGACAGACAGATAGATAGATAGATAGATACCGATAGAGACAGACAGACAGACAGACAGACACATAGAAAGACAGATAGAAAGATAGATAGATAGATAGATAGATAGATAGATAGATAGATAGATAGATAGATAGATAGATAGATAGATAGATAGATAGATAGATAGATAGATAGATAGATAGATAGATAGATAGATAGATAGATAGATAGATAGATAGATAGATAGATAGATAGATAGATGGATAGATAGATAGATAGATAGATAGATAGATACCGATAGAGTCAGACAGATAGATAGATAGATAGATAGATAGATAGATAGATAGATAGATAGATAGATAGATAGATAGATAGATAGATAGATAGATAGATAGATAGATAGATAGATAGATAGATAGATAGATAGATAGATAGATAGATAGATAGATAGATAGATAGATAGATAGATAGATAGATAGACCCGGATCTCCTCCACTAAACTCAGTTCAGTGTGTGAGTGAGACACACTTATCCTCCATCCTCGAGTCTCCAGTCTAAACAATGAACAAGACCTTGGATTAGACCTCCATGACTCACTACAGTAACAACACACACTCACTCGCTCCCGAATCACTGACACGAGGACAAACACACCAATGATGCATTATTCATCCCCTATTCCTTCTTACTTCATAACAAACATGCGCACACTGTGTCCCTGAGAGGAAATGAGGACACATCGCAGATCTGGACAGCGAAATCAAGTGTTTCCAAACTGAACATAGTCTGAAACTGAGTGAGAGTGTGTCCAACAAGGACACCAGAGAGCGACTACACAAATGAAACACTTAAAGCTGAAATATTCTAGTAGTTATTAAAGGGATAGTTCACTTTGAAATTAATTTTTGAAATGTTTTATCTTCCCTCAAGGGCATCCAAGATGTAGGTGTCTTTGTTTCCACAGTATTTTCAATTTTGATATTTTTAGGTCAAACCGTTTGAGTCTGTCAGTCATATAATGGAGGTCTATGGTCACCACCTCAAAGAGCATGCACAGAGAAGTCCAAATTAAACATGATTTAATGACTTGTAAATGTAAGTACACATTGATGGCCTAAGACACGAAACGAGCGGTTTGTGTGAGAAAACGAACAGTATTTATATCGTTTTTACCTCTTCTAACCACAGCCACGTCCAACTGATCTCAGGCCGCGGGCGCTTCGGTCTGTGCAAGCACCGGAAGTGATCTCTTGCGTGTGTACATCACTTATTGTTTACACAGAGATTTCGGAAGCGTTACCCTTCACTGTGAAGATCTAAACATATTTAGATATACAGGAAATCACAATGGAAGACGATTTCGATATATCAACAGACAACGTTGATTTTCTTTCCAACCGCGCGAGAGATCACTTCCGGCTGTGGTTACAAGAGGTAAAACGATATAAATAATATTCGTTTTCTCACACAAACCACTCGTTTCGTGTCTTAGGCCATCAATGTGTACTTACATGTACGAGTCATTAAATCATGTTTAATTTGGACTTCTCTGTGCATGCTCTTTGAGGTGGTGACCATAGACCTCCATTATATGACTGACAGAGAACGGTTTGACCTAAAAATATCAAAATTAAAAATACTGTGGAAACAAAGACACCTACATCTTGGGTGCCCTTGAGGTAAGATAAAACACACCAAAAATTAACCCTTTAAAGGCGTGGAATGGATGCAAAAGCAAAGCGTTTGGTTACTGATGCCACTGTAGAAACACATATTTGATCCATTTATTCGTCTTAAATTGTCAAATAATAATGCAAATCAGTTTGTGTAACTTCACAATATCCTCACTTCACAAAAGTTTAAAACGCAGCGTTCTCACGAACATGCCCTCGCCGTACACGAACAGAAGCGGAGGCATCTCAACCTTCAGTGGGATCTAGATGTGTCAAAACACACTCCTGTGAACCTCCTCCTTCACAGCATCACGCTCACTTTCCTCTTTACTGTTTTAAGTCACGAATCCTTTTACTGGGAGAGAGTTTCTTGCCGTTCGTTATTCACTTTGAGAACTGAATGAGGTTTAAAGAATCCAAATAACTTAACGCACGCTAACAGAGAGAGTTCAGAGGATGGAGACCGTCCAATAATCCCGTACAAAATAATAACGACCTGTGATGAGACGGCCAGCTGAAGCTCTCTGACATGTAGACGTGTGTCGGTCGTGTTTGATTAGAGGCTGGATGTGTGTGTTGCTGGTATTGATTGTGGTGTTATGATGTTTATGAGATGCTGTCCAGCACATATCGACTGGATGAACGAGAGAGGACCCTATCCTGAAGATAAGGTCAATGTATTCTCCACAGACTCGCTCAAACCCTGTTTAATTATGTTTGTTCTGTCTTCTAGCATATTAAACACTACAACTACTGGCTGACTCACACACACTAGTCTCACAGAGATGTGTTTGCTTACAGCTTATTCAGGTCAAATTGTTCATTTAATAATTTTTTTTTTAATGTTTTATTATTATTATTTTATTTCAATGTTGCTTAATTCCACCGTTATTCAGTGAAACACAACACTAATGTACGTACAACCAACGAGGATATTCATTTTTTTTTTAAGAACAGAAAAACTAAAGAATTGCCATAATTGTAATTCATAAAACTTGTGCATAACATTGCAAATCTTCAGGTGTTGTATTTCTTTTTAGTTCATTTTAATGATAAATTTATGGAGGGTTTTGGTCATTTATATATATATATATATATATATATATATATATATATATATATTAGGGCTGTCAAAATATTAATCACATCCAAAATAAAAGTTTGTGTTTACATAAAATGTGTGGGTGCACTGTGTATAATTATTTTATTTATATTTATATTTATATATATATATATATACACACAGACACACATGCTTGTATATATTTAAGAAATATTTTCATGTATATAGATTTATATATAATTTATAATATATATAAATATAAATATTTTATATATAAATAATATTTTTTTCTTAAATATACATGCATGTGTGTGTGTATATATATATATATATATATATATATATACACACACACAAAATAATTATACACAGTGCACCCACATATTTTATGCAAACACAAACTTTTATTTTGGATGTGATTAATCGCGATTGATCATTTGACAGCCCTAATATATATATATATATATATATATATATATATATATATATATATATATATATATATATATATATATATATATAGATAGATAGATAGATAGATAGATAGATAGATAGATAGATAGATAGATAGATAGATAGATAGATAGATAGATAGATAGATAGATAGATAGATAGATAGATAGATAGATAGATAGATAGATAGATAGATAGATAGATAGATAGATAGATATTTAGGAGAAATTTGTTTACTCATCAAGGGGACAAAACATAATGTCTTAAAAATAGGCCTTATTTTCTCAATGCAATATATATATATATATATATATATATATATATATATATATAGTTTTTTTTTATATATATAGACTGCAAGTCAAACCGTTTGGAACGACATGAGGGTTGGTAAAAAATGAGATAATGTTAATTTATTACTTAGTGTGTGTGTGAAAATGCAGAAAGTTTTGTGTAACGGGTTGGGGAGAGACTATACAGTTTGTACAATATAAAAAATCATTATGTCTATTAAAGTCACGGGTATGTGTGTGTGTGTGTGTGTAGATGTTACAAGCATAAAGACTTCTGAGATGAATATGACCCTCAGTGTGGTGAAAACTCTGGAGGGCTGAGTGTGAAACACATCTGGGAGGTGTACAGTACAGACACACACACACTACGGTTGAGCAATATGCTGAACATGCTGGAACAACAGCGCACCGCTGTGCAATCTTAATATTCATATCCAACAGGGATCCATTAGCATTTGGGGAGAATGTGTAATTAAAAGAGTCGAGCACACGGCAACATATCAACACAAAACCCACACATGAGACATAAGGCTTTACGAGGATCTCAACACAAGCAGTTCTTGTTCTTGTGCCACACACACTCATAATGCGTGCAAATCAAGTTCTTAACACAAGTTAAATCAGAAACACTTTGATGTGCACCAGGCTACTGAACACAAGCACACTATCCACACACACACACACTCAATTAACCATTAGAGCAGCGTCCAATTAACCCTGGCCCGACAGGACTAATGACCACGACCAGCTGCCTTTAAACACACATCACCAGAACAACAGACGTTTGAAGAACCAACGAGTCAGATATGTGCTTCATCATATTGGTGAGATTCCCCACCATGGGTGACCGGACTGTAGTGGACTGATCGCTCTAGCAAACACACACCTCGAGCAAGCATTATACTTTATTTAAAGATCATTATCAGTCTTAGGCACTGGATACACACATGCACGCTCACTCGAATGGCTGCTTCTGGTTTTGCAATAACTAGGTCAGTTTATTAATGTTTATGGTTTGGCCCGGCTAAAGAGCCATTTGTCTTGAGAGTAGCCCTACTAATGTGTTTCAGAGAGATACGCTTCTGTGCGCGTGCAAACTCCTGCGAGAGGACATCCTTCACCACACGAACTATATACTGTATATATATATATAACATTCAAGGGTTTATCAGACGCTTCATATAGAACCTTTAAAGCTGAAAGTATGTATGCTGTATAAAAACGTGAAGAAGCTTTCCATTGCACAGAAGGAAGTGAAGGTTCTTTAGATTAATGAAATGTTCTTCGCATTTTTCATCTTTTAAAGGAGTAGTTCACTTAAAAAAAAAAAACTTTTGCTGTTAATTTACTCGCCCCTTTGAACAGTTTGCACTGAAACTGTCTTTTGGACCTTGAACTGTTTGGTTCCCATTGAAGTCCATTATATGGAGAAAATCCTGGAATGTTTTCATCAAAAACCTTAATTTCTTTTCGACTGAAGAAAGAAAGACCTGGACATCTTGGATGACATGGGGGTGAGTAAATTATCAGCAAAAGTTTTTTTTTTTTTTTGTTTGTTTTTCAAAAGTAGTTCAATTTTGGAAATAACTTTTGCTGATAATTTACTCACCCCCATGTCATCCAAGATGTCCAGGTCTTTCTTTCTTCAGTCGAAAAGAAATTAAGGTTTTTGATGAAAACATTCCAGGATTTTCTCCATATAATGGACTTCAATGGGAACCAAACGGTTCAAGGTCCAAAAGACAGTTCCAGTGCAGCTTCAAAGGGCTTTAAATGACATCAGACGATGAATAAGGGTCTTATCAAGCGAAACGATCGCTCATTTAATAAATAAATAACAAAGTTTAAGTTTTATAAGCTCAAATGCTCTCCTTGCTCTGTTCCGTGACGCGCGTTCATGACTCTCCTGTTCGAACTAGTTCATCAAAATGAACAAATCTTTTTTCGAGTAATTTGGTTCATTCAACGAACGAAATGAACAAGTTGACTCGGCAAAAGATTTGTTCATTTTGATGACTGTTTGATGAGAGTCACGAACGCGCGTCACAGAACAGAGCAAGGCGAGCATTTGAGCTTATAAAACTTAAACTTTGTTATTTATTTATTAAATGAGCGATCGTTTCGCTTGATAAGACCCTTATTCATCGTCTGATGTCATTTAAAGCCCTTTGAAGCTGCACTGGAACTGTCTTTTGGACCTTGAACCGTTTGGTTCCCATTGAAGTCCATTATATGGAGAAAATCCTGGAATGTTTTCATCAAAAACCTTAATTTCTTTTCGACTGAAGAAAGAATGACGTGGACATCTTGGATGACATGGGGGCGAGTAAATTATCAGCAAAAGTTTTTTTTTAAGTGAACTACTCCTTTAAGAACCACTCACTGAAAAGTCCTTTGGGGAAACCAAAGCGTTTCTGAAAATCCCCTTTTGGAACCTTTATTATTGTGTGGGTGTAGTATGTTAGTATGCTCTCCTGTACTCTGTGTGTGTGTGTGCGTGTGTGTGTGTGTCTCATAATGTGAGGTTCCTGTGGTAGCTCCCTCCAGTGGACGAGTAACTGACACAATGTTTGGACACACACGTGTGCTGTATGAATGTACGGCCGAGGACATTAATCAGTGAGAGATACACATATGTGTCTTCTGCTAAATTAATTTAGTCATAAATCTGCAAGAGAGTAACAGAGAGAGAGAGAGAGAGAGAGAGAGAGAGTTGTGTTCTTATAAGACCCTCAGACATGAATAATTCAGACTAACCCGAGGCAGTGCTGCACTACACACTACTGCTGAGTGTTTGAGTGTGTGTGTGTGTGTGAGAGGGGGGGGGGGGGGGTTAGAAGAGTGTGTATGTGTGTGTGTACGTGTGTGCGTGTGTGTTAGAGTATGACAGCACTGCCATGGCCTTAATCCATGATGACAAAATTACACAACTTTCACAAACATAACACACACGCAACATACAGTGAGTCAAATAATTCATTGAAAGAGAGAGGGAGAGAGAGAGAGAGAGAGAGAGAGAGAGAGAGAGAGAGAGAGAGAGAGAGAGAGACTGAAAGGGTTTGTGGGAAAGGGTTTCTCGTGGGACTAAGAGCGAGAGATTGAAAGTGGACAGAAATGAATTGCTCAAGTCACTTGCTTTAGGAACCTCTTTTAGCCCGAGGAGCGTGAACTGGGCCTAACGTGTACACACACACACACACACACACACACACACACTGGACTTGCTTAAGAATTAAACAACTGGATTCAGGGCTAAATGTACTGTATTGTACCAAACAGTGAAGTGGTTCTCATGATGGCCAAAAACACATTCACACACCGATACGGTAAAGTGGCAGACTACACACACACACACACCCATGGAGTGAAGTGGCAGTATATATATATATATATATATATAAATATATAATATAATATATACACACGCATGCTTGTATATATTTAAGAAATATTTTCATGTATATAGATTTATATATAATTTATATAAATAAATATTTTATATATAAATATTTTTTTTTCTTAAATATACATGCATGTGTGAGTATTTATATATATACAAAATAATTATACACAGTGTACCCACATATAGTATGTAAACACAAACTTTTATTTTGGATGCAATTAATCGTTTGACTAGTTATAACCCATAACTATTACTACATTTTCTAGTGCTAGAAAATACATAGAAATATAGAAATATATAGAAATTGCATAAATTTATGTATTTATTTATTAGTTTGTTTATTTTGTATTTCACATTGGTGATTTTATAATGTATTTTTTCCATTTAATTTAGTACTCTACTATTAAAAATTGAATTTATATATATAATAAAAATATGGTTATTTCGGTTGATTATTCGTGCATAAATATCCAAAAACAAAGGTTATGGATTTTAATAAATGTGATCTCAACGTAGCATGTAAAATAAAACCACTTTTAATAGGAAACTGATATACCTGTATGGGATCTTGTAATTGCAACGTTTTTTTTATCATATTGTGTGTTATAAAGTCAGAATTGTGAGATATAAAAAAAGGCAGTCTTTTTTTTTACACAGTATTCGACTATAAACTCACAATTGCTAGTTTTTATCTCACAATTCTCAGAAATAAAGATATAAACTCTCAATTATCTTTCAAAATGTTTTATTCTGTGGCGGAAACAAGAGATATGACCCATTTCATGTTTATTCGTCCATTATATTTGTATCTGTGTATATATTTGCTGAGTGCACCTTTTAAATACACAGCTTGCTTACTTAAACCGATTATTGGCAGGATGATGGTGTGTTAGGGGATATTATTACCTTTCATCCTGTATCTGGACATCTTTGGGCCAGGATTCTGGCATTTCTGTCACAAACCCCATGTCTTCGTGGGAGCTCGATGATGATTGGTCAGACAAGTGGGCAGGAAGAAGAGGTGGCCTATCATCTTCAATGATGACGGTGTCATCCTGGGGCATATTCACAGTGGGGGACAGCTGGAAGTTACCTGAGAGAAAGAGAAAGAGAGAGAACAGGTCAAAATCTCACTGAAAAAAAATAATAAAAGTGTGTTTTTTTTTTTAGATGGGCTTCAATAATCTACAGGACAATCTGCCTTTGAGAAAACTGTACTGTCCATAAAAGAAGTCACTAAAACCCAGTGGCGGGCAAGCGCACTTCACCCCGAGGCCTTCAGTGGTGTCGTACCCGAATGAATCCACCTCTTAAAGGAGTAGTTCACTTTTCAAAAAACTTTTGCTGATAATTTACTCACCCCCATGTCATCCAAGATGTCCAGGTCTTTCTTTCTTCAGTCGAAAAGAAATTAAGGTTTTTGATGAAAACATTCCAGGATTTTCTCCATATAATGGACTTCAATGGGAACCAAACGGTTCAAGGTCCAAAAGACAGTTCCAGTGCAGCTTCAAAGGGCTTTAAATGACATCAGACGATGAATAAGGGTCTTATCAAGCGAAACGATCGCTCATTTAATAAATAAATAACAAAGTTTAAGTTTTATAAGCTCAAATGCTCTCCTTGCTCTGTTCCGTGACGCGCGTTCATGACTCTCCTGTTCGAACTAGTTCATCAAAATGAACAAATCTTTTTTCGAGTAATTTGGTTCATTCAACGAACGAAATGAACAAGTTGACTCGGCAAAAGATTTGTTCATTTTGATGACTGTTTGATGAGAGTCACGAACGCGCGTCACAAAACAGAGCAAGGTTAGCATTTGAGCTTATAAAACTTAAACTTTTTTATTTATTTTTAAAATGAGTGATCGTTTCACTTGATAAGACCCTTATTCAACGTCTGGAATCGTTTAAAGCCCTTTGAACAGTTTTCACTGAATCTGTCTTTTGGAGCTTGAACCGTTTGGACCCCATTGAAGTCCATTATATGGAGAAAAATCCTGGAATGTTTTCATCAAAAACCTTAATTTCTTCTCCACTGAAGAAAGAAAGACGTGGACATCTTGGATGACATGGGGGTGAGTAAATTATCAAGTTTTCTTAAAAGTAAACTACTCCTTTAATATGCATTTAATAGCGCACAGATTCTTTATAACAGCTGTAATTTCTGTTTTATGTTGCACTGGCGGTTAAAGGGTTAAAGCGGTGAGTTCGGAAAAGGTCGGGTAGAGAGAAACGAGCATCGAGTGTGTTCATGTTGTTTTGCGTTCCGATTAAAAAGTTCAGAAACAGTCTTTCGTTCTTCAGACGCGGCGCGCACTATTGATTCTGGATGCCTCAAGGCAGATTTCTTTGACCCTGGCAACACATGACGGCTGAAATATATTTCATATTCAAGACATATGTCACGTCATGGTTATGAAGGTGTCATATCAGTCTTATGCAAAGTGTTACCTAAAGCTCTAACATAAACATGCACTACTAAAGCAGCGCAACCAAGAGAAAAGCTACTATTGGGAATAATTTAATACACATTAATGAAAAAAAAAAAAAACATAGTCAGTGTTTATGATTCTGGCCTTGCTGACACTGACGGCACACCACTTCTAAATCTGTCTAAAACTGTACATGTGAGCAAAATAAACATTTATGCACCGTACAACAACAGTTTTATACTGTAAATGCAACTGTTTGAACAGAGAGTTTACTAAACGAAACACAGGTAGAAGAAAGAGTCGCTTACTGTAAGTCAACAAGCTCTGAAACATAGACAAATCAGTCAGCGCAACAACGGCGCACATGTTCACAATTAAAATGAGGGATTTCCATCCAAACATGGACTTCTGGAGTTCCACTACGGCTCGTTCCAAGTGTATTTATTTCAACTAGAAGTCATTACGCAACTTTAGCAGCTTAGAAGCAATCAAATGTAATTACTCCTACACAAAAAAATAACCCAGGCGTTCTCCCAGCAAAAATAAAACTGATATTTAGTTCCAGACAACAAAATGCTCTGACAGAAATAAGTGAGTGTTTATGTGTTTTGCATCGTTCGGCCGAGCACACACACACTGAATGAGACTTTAACACGTGATTTCAGGATTGGTTTTATCTTAAACATGGGCCACGTCTGGATTTTACCTTCAAAACTGGTAAAAGTGTGTGGAGTGCGGGGGAAAAGAGTGTGTGCAGAAAATGAGTGTGTGTGCCTACTTAAAGGAGTAGTTTACTTTTAAAAAAAAAAACTTTTGCTGATAATTTACTCACCCCCATGTCATCCAAGATGTCCATGTCTTTCTTTCTTCAGTGGAAAAGAAATTAAGGTTTTTGATGAAAAAATTCCAGGATTTTTCTCCATATAATGGACTTCAATGGGAACCAAACGGTTCAAGGTCCAAAAGACAGTCTCAAACTGTTCAAAGGGCTCTAAACGATTCCAGACGATGAATAAGGGTCTTATCAAGCAAAACAAATGCTTATTTAAAAAAAAAAAAAGTTTTATAAGCTCAAATGGTCGAAACCTTAATTTCTTTTCGACTGAAGAAAGAATTAAAGAACTTATCAGCAAAAGTTGTCCCCATGCAATGTCCCTATTTAGATAGCTAAGTAAACGTGTGTGTTTCAGAATTTAACACCACCAAATAAACTCTACATTTACATTTCTATCCTGAAGAGATTCCACTCTAAACCAGCATGCATTGCATGTTCTTCTGGCCGTATGATATGATGAAACCCTTACTCTTAGGTTCATGAATTTATAACAAACTGTAATTAGACATCGGGTGGTTGAAGCCTAATCATTAAAGATCAAAAACCCAGTTTCACAGACAAGGCTTAAGCTACTCCCAAACTAAAACACTCCTAGTTTTAACTGAGTTAATAAGTGTATATCATCTTGGATAATTAGTAGAGTTCATTAGAGAAGCGTCGTCATGTCCATTTAGTGCACTAGCACCAGAGCGTATGGTTAAAGGCCTCTTGAAATGCCTATAACAGTAAATGAACAGCATTCATCTTCAGTGAACAGAGTTCACATATCGTGTCTTTTGCACGCTCAAGATCGTTATTTCAAATGTAGGCACGCGGTATGCGCACTCATAATGGAATGGAAGCGCCCAGCGTTTTCTACGCGTTTTTAGGCGCTATATGTGAGTCCGGCCTAAAGCCCACACTAAAGTTCACACTACATGATTTTAAGCCCCATTTGCATATCGTTGAGCTCGCGGACAGGTCAGGGTGTTATCGTGTGCAAATCGCGGGGGATTAGCAGGCGATGAACGCTCGCCAATCTGAAAGCGCCAAAAACACATCAAAGACGCTCGCAGACGCGTCGCTGGGCCAAGGAAAATATCTCGCATGCTAGATATCCAGAGCTGTCGAGCAACTCAACCTCATGTGATGTCATGAGCTACAGCCAATCAGAGCAAGGCATGGGTTGAGGTCACCGGGTAAATCTTGTTTTTTTCTTTTTTGCGTTTTTTTTCTCAGAGCAAATCATGGCGCAATGATTTGAGGTCTGACATCCATATTTGCGTTTTGTGTTCTTCGTCTTGTTTGCTGGGTATTGACGCACAAAACGTGGTTTGTAGACAAGATCGAATCGTTGGGTGTTAGAGTTGTTGTCAGCTGTTATAGTGCATTACCTCCTGCTGCGGATCAATCACGTTGTGTTGTGTGGTGTGAACAGCTTAACAACTTGAACACTCTTGAAGTCATGTAGTGTAAACCACACAGTTCAGCCCGACGTTTTAAAATCATGTAGCGTGAACTAGGCTTAACTATGGAAGCTTGTTTGCGCCACTGAATAAAAAAAAAAAAAATAATAATTGTGACTTTTTATCTCAAGTCAGAATTGTGAGAAATAGTCACAATTGCGTGTTATAAAGTCAGAATTGCGAGATATAAAGTCAGAATTGTGTGATATAAAGTCAGAATTGCAAGATATAAAGTCAGAATTGTGATATAAAGTCAGAATTACGAGTTATAAAGTTAGAATTGCGAGATATAAAGTCAGAATTGCGTGATATAAAGTCAGAATTGCGTGTTATAAAGTCAGAATTGCGAGATATAAAGTCAGAATTGTGTGATATAAAGAGTTAAAGGCACAATTGCGAGATAAAAAGTCAGAATTGCGTGATATTAAGTCAGAATTGCGTGTTATAAAGTCAGAATTGCGAAATATAAAGTCAGAATTGCGAAATATAAAGTCAGAATTGTGAGATATAAAGTCAGAATTGCGAGATATAAAGTCGGAATTGTGAGATATAAAGTCAGAATTGCGAGATATAAAGTCAGAATTGCATTTTATAAAGTCAGAATTGCGAGATATAAAGTCAGAATTGTGAAATATTAAGTCAGAATTGTGAGATATTGAATTGTGGGACTTTATATCTCACAATTCTGACTTTATATCTCGCAATTCTGACTTTATATCTCGCAATTCTGACTTTATATCTCTCAATTCTGACTTTATATCTCGCAATTCTGACTTTATATCACACAATTGTGCCTTTAACTCTTTATAACATGCAATTCTGACTTTATATCTCACAATTCTGACTTTATATCTCTCAATTCTGACTTTATATCTCACAATTCTGACTTTATATCTCGCAATTCTGACTTTATATCTCACAATTCTGACTTTATATCTCTCAATTCTGACTTTATATCTCGCAATTCTGACTTTATATCTCACAATTCTGACTTTATATCTCTCAATTCTGACTTTATATCTCGCAATTCTGACTTTATATCTCTCAATTCTGACTTTATATCTCACAATTCAGACTTTTTATCTCACAATTGTGCCGTTAACTCTTTATAACATGCAATTCTGACTTTATATCTCGCAATTCTGAGAAAAAAAGTCAGAATTGTGAGATAAAAAGTCACAATTACCTTTTTTATTTTTCATTCTGTGGCAGAAACAAGCTTCCATACTTAACAACCCTGACCCGTGAGACTCAGATTTAACTCGGACTAATCCATCCGACACAGACTTGAGCAGTCCAGTAATGAACAATCTGATGTGCTAAACTTTCATCGTTAGTCATTAACACAAGACAAACCAAACCAAACATTCAGAGGATTT